GGATTCCCAAAGAGATTGTTTCCTTTTCTGATCAGTCATAACAACCAGAATATGTCCAGGCCGGATTATAAACCTTGGCCAGTTACCAGAGACGAGCAGGAGTGTTCTCGTTGGCTGCTACTTCTTCACTGCTCGTCCCTCAACCTTGAGCATACAGGTCAAGTGGGTCACGTGACGTGACTCACCAACACTCGGTATAGTTGAACATAAAGGGGGGGGGGAAAGGGTTGTTAATAAGAATTAGCCTTAATAATACAAGGACGTTCATTTCCAATTTAGCTATTAAAGGAAATAACCGCAATGTAATATTAAAGAAAGGTTAACCATAGGGGCAAGACAGGCTTAGACTTCCAGCAAGCATGCATGAGCATATTTGATAGGAGTGAATTGAGATAAATAGTTTTTAATACTTGATGTGCTGTTGGAGTGTGAGCCTCTGCTGAGTGGGAGACAGATGAACACTAACTTTTTCATCCTTGTGTTTCAGAATGTCAGAGTTTGTAGCAGACTGTGCAGAGTGTACATTTGTTCTGGAAATTATTTATCAGGGAGTGATGACTGGGTAAGTGATGACTGATGACTGGGTAAGGAACACAGAAGCAGTATTGAATGTCTAGCACCATTATAAGAAAATATCAAGATGGTCAGATTTTTAGATATCAATAAGGATTTTTAATAATACAAAATTTTATGAAATACAATGGCAAACAGATGATGTTAACAGCGCAGAATAAGTCACTGTGACATGACCTGGCACTTTACTTCTGCTTCCCCTCAGAGAATTTTTCCCCTACTATCTGTTGCTAGTTTTGCAATATTGCATAGCTAAAGATTTCCATCCCCATGTGGCTTTTTCTGCATAAATTTTTATGAAGTTATTCAGGGAAACCAGTGAGCTGGACTTGAGTCCTGGAGGTGGAAAGGGCAGTGTCTGCACTCTGGAGGGGTGGAGATGTTGCAGTCAGAGTATACTCTGTAATGTCAGCACTTCTGGAAAGATGACAGTTGAGTGAATGTTGGTGAATGTGCTTTCTTTGAATCATTGGTGACCCAGGAATAATAGAATGTTTCTGTTTTACAATGTCAACAATATTACAACATGAACACATTTATGTAAGTAAATTAACCAGTTTTAATAAAGAATTATTTACTCTTTCACAGTCTCGCTCTGTCGGTCTTTCTTGATAGATTAATGAAGTATAACAAAGCTTTGGTTAATGTAATTTTTCTAACTTTGGTGCAGCAAAATGTTTGTTTACAGATTTCACCTGTTTTTAGTGTGGTTGGTTTCACCGCTACACTTAGCCCAGGACATTAAGGTTCAACAAGTGTGCTCAACAATAAGTGAGTTTTGCCTTGGAGTACAGGACCTGCCAAGAGCATGTACTACAACAGATTCAGAAGAACGCAAACCACCGTGAGAGAAATATGACTCACGGGAAGATGATCATAGAGGTATGCATTGACAAATGTTTGTTTAAATTTGAAAAAGTACACATTGTACTTTTTCATACACCAGAGAGAAATAAGATACGACTTAAGTACCAGCCTTGGTATGGGGGTGTTGTGATCTCACATCAGTGACAAATTTCTCCCATTCTATATGGGACACTTGTCCTCACCTTATTATACCCAGTGGGCACATTATTATAGGGGCTCACGAAATCATAGTGACACAATTGCAAACAAACCATACCACAGGTGGGGCTTGAACCCGCAGTCAGAGATTCATAAAACTCCAGACAAATGCGTTATCCACTGGGCCAGCTGGCACCATTCATCAACTTCATTTTTCCACTTTATGCATGTTTCACAAGTTTTGGCAAGAGGTAAGCTACTGAACTCAGGTGAGGGAGTAGGTCTCCCACTCTGCTGGGGCTTTGGTATGGGCTCCATCTGACCTGACTCGGAATATTTTGTTCCTGTTTCTATATGCAAAGAAAAGTCCTGTTTCCTTTCCTGTCATTGCCCAACTTTGGGTATTATTTCTTCTCTGTACATTAGGAAGCAGAGCTTGATAAGTGAAAGCTGTGAGTGGCCCTTG